TATTTGTTTAGTTTGGGATTAAAGAAAAAAAAAAATCCCATTGTAGTGTCTGTCCAAGGGATCTTATCTGCTAAGCCGTTCCAACATTTCATTTGGTGTGCACAGAACTTTACAGCCATTGAAGAGTAAATGGGTGGATTCAAATCAGCAGTAAATCAGAAGTCAGTGGTCATTTTTACTAATAATTGTCTTATGTGGATCTGCCACAGATGGATGGATGGACAGATGGATGGGTGGATAGATGGTAGACAGATATCTGCTAGTTCATATTTTATGAACTATGGATCGATGGTTCTTCCAAAGAAGTTATTAGAGCATTTATGTTTGCAAGTGCTCTCCATCCTCAAAATGCTCTAGATACCGATAAAGCTCCAAGTAAATTCTTCATAATATCGTGTTTCTTGCTCATAACATGAATTTGGTTAATTTCTGAGTAAGTAAAGAATGAATGATTTCATATGTAAAAGAATGAAAGCTTTTCTAACGCTTTTAGCATGTTTTCTGCAGGTGTTTCAAACGTTTTAGGTTCTCTGAGGTTGCTAGTCCATGAGAATTGTTACTGGCTGCTGGGTGAAAGAGTGCTCATTTTCAATTATTTTACTTACAATCTACTACCAAAGACAAGGGCTGACGAAAATAAATGCTATACCTGATGTACTTTAACACTTTGACCATATTCTTAGAATTAAATCGGACAGTTATTGTTCCTCCTTTACGGAGGAAGCAACAGAGCTGAGAGGACAATTATTCATCGTCTAAATCCAAAATTTGTACGTCTTAGGGGTGTGGCACCTCAGAGAGTACATTTCAAGGAATAATACTAAGGTTAGTCTTCTTGCCATGAAATCATAAGCTTGGTCATCAGGGTATTTTTGTTTTATGTTTTCTGCTCTACAGACCATTCCTGTAATCAAAGTTTCATTTTTATCTTTGTCTTTAAAGTTCATTCAGTCAAGTTCTCCAACCCTGTAGACTGTGGCAAACACCTGGATGTCTTTCTGTGGGTTTATGCTTCTGAGGAAGAAAAAGTCAAGGCCTCTCTTCTCTCCCTCCCCCTTGCTGTTTGGGCCTCTGTCAGTGCTTAGCTGACCCAGACGGCTCCAGAAGGGGTGTGGCTGAAGGACGTCAGGTGACAGAGTCTAGCCAGCAGTAGCAGCAATATATATCCTTCCCAAAAAAGCATCATTAACTTAACATGGGCTCTGGGAGGGAAACACTGAATGGCAGTTGGAGATTTAAGAATGAGTTAGAAATCTTGATTGAATAAAAGACCTTCAATAAACACAAAGAATTAAAAACACATACGTAATAAGTTTACTCCTTCCCTCTTTTTATTCACGCGGGGTTGTAATGTAGGGTACCTGTTAGAAGGTGCCACACGCACACTGGGTGTTGGAGAAAGAGGCTAAGGGTCAAGGGGAAGAGGATGGAAGAGGAGGAAGTAGAGGAAAAACAAAAGGGGAGATGTGGTGGAAGGTAGCGGGTAGGTTGGGAGCCTGGGGCAAATGAGAGGTTAGAGATTGTGGGAGAAGGAAGTAATCAATCTAAAACTTGGAAGCAGACACCTTAGTGTGATTATATCCTTATCTATTTCTATATCCATACATATATGGAAAGGTATCTATATATGTATGTATGTGTGTGTGTGTATATGTTTACATTATACTAAGAACTGTTGTAACTAGTGTGGTCTTGTGTACTAATGCATTACCAGTGCCTAAGCACGTGGCCAACACCCAGTAAGGATTTTCGTAGTTAATTAATGAATGGCCTAGAATCCCAGACATCTGGTATATGGCTGAAAACGTTCCTAAACTTTTTCAGGTTATTGTTCTGATAGTTTCATTCCACAGCTACAGAACATTTATTCAAAGATTATTTTATTGGTAGTTTTTAGGTGTGATTAAAATACTAGGCAGGCAATGCTTATAGGTAATGGAGAATGTATTATGCAAATTCAGGGTATTCTTTAACATCTGGCTCTATGATAATGATTAAATATCAGGGTTTACAAATATGACCAGTTGGGATATTGTAATTTTGGATAAAATTATAAAAGTAACTTAAGTAAAATTATTGTTGGTTCATGTTTGGAAACAGTTTATATGTATCTTTCACTTAAGATCGGGTTTGATTTTTCCCATTATCATTTCGACTAAATAAAGTAAGTAATCTGAAAAATTGCATTACTAGCAATTATGTTTTAGTTGCTTTTTTCCATCTAACGTATAAATATGAATTCATAACTTCTATTTTACTGTTGTTTTTTTTTAAATCGCAAGTCTTTTCTAATTCTTTTATCCATCTTAGAACATTAATAGTTTGCAAGGACTTACCAGATATATAACCTCATATTATTTTTTTTAACTATAACTTTAAAAAAAATCTGAGACATGGTCTCAACTAGAAAGCATAACAAAGAATTTATCAATAAAAGGGTTTATCAGAAATAATATGTGAGAGAGATTCAGTATATGACTATAAATACACAAATTGTCTATCTAGTTCTAATCATAGAATGTTTTCGTAAACCTTAACTTAAAATTTAACTTCTCCAGTAGTTTACCTACTATTGCCAATCTTCTCTGTGTAACACTGTTGTTGTTATTTTCTTCTAGGAAAAATATTGTTCGACCATTGCTAGATCAGTTATCAATGAAAGAGAAGAGAGAAAAGGTACTATGTTAATTAATCAAACCTTTGCCAACTTTTAATAATCTAACTCAGAATCCAGTGTGACATAAATATGGAAAAGAAACAAAGTCCAGTGATATTAAAATCTTAAGCTGGTACTTATTTTAATAAAAGTAAATAAGATATTTTCTTAAAAAAAAAAAAGGTCAGATGTGGTGTGAGAGAACATAGTACGTAGACACGTGTGGGCATGGATCCCGGCTTGTCTACTGGTTGGCAAGTCACTGAGCCTACTTGAACCTCGGTATCCTTCTCTGTGAAATAAGAATTATCCTATTCATCTTGCATAGTGGTTCTGAGAATGTGAGATAATGTACACAAAGTGCCCAGAATTTAGCAGGTGCTAAATAAATGATTGTTGTTGTTCTGTGCTGCCGAGTCGATTCCTACTCATAGCAACCCTATAGGACAGAGTAGAACTGCCCTATAGGATTTCCAAGGCTGTAATTTTTATGGAAGCAGACTGTGACATCTTTCTTCTTCAGAGCAGCTGGTGGGTTCAAACTTTGCCACCAGATCTCCTTTTTAAATAAATGATAAGAATTATTATAAAAGAAGTTTTCCGAAAGCTAAAACTTTTGCTGGAATTTCACAGTAATTTTTTTTTTTAAATTGTGCTTTAGGTGAAAGTTTAGAGTTCAAGTTAATTTCTCATTCAAAAATTTATACACATATTGTTTTGTGACATTGATTGCAATCCCCACAATATGAGAGCCTGCTCCCCCTTTCTACCCTGGGTTCCTTGTGTCCATTTATCCAGTTCCTGTCCCTTCCTTACTTCTCATCCTGCTTTTGGACAGGAGCTGCCCATTTTGTCTCATATATTTGATTGAACTAAGAAGCATGTTATAGGCCTGTCTAATCTTTGTCTGAAAAGTGGGCTTCAGGAATGGTTTCAGTTATGGGTTAGCAGAGCATCTGGGGGCTGTAGTTTCAGGGGTTCCTCCAGTCTAGTAGACCCTTACTCCTCTATCATCTGTCTCAGCACAGCAATGAGGGATCCATTTAAAATATAAGTTAGAGTATGTCACTTCTCTGCTCAGAACCCCTCAGTGACTCCTCATTTCACTCAGAGTTGAAGCCAATGTCCTAGCAATCACCTGCAAAGCCCTGCATCATTTTGCCTTCTGTTACCTCTCTAAACTCATCTACTTCAGTCAAAAGACATCCTTCTGAATATTTTGATCAAAGATTCTACAAAAGAATCCTGATCAAAAGGGGGAAAATGCAGAACAGAATTTCAAATTTTCAATGGAATCCACACTTGCTGGAGCCATTGAGGCTGGAGGAACCCCTGAAACTTTTCCCTGAGATAATCTTTAAACCTTAAACTAAAACTATCCCCTGAAGTATTCTTTGAACCAAAAATAGCTTATCTTAATTAGTAAAGTATGTCTGCTTTGAGCATTGTGTTCTTTTAAAGAACTATCTATCTATGTGGGATCAAATTGACGACAGCATCTTGAAAGGTCAGAAGGGAAGTTTAGGGTGCAGTAGGTTTAAGATAATGGTGGTGGGGTAATTTGGAAAAGGATAGCAAGAATGATAGCACAACTTTAGGAATGTAATCAATGTCACTGAATTGTACAAGTAGAAAGTAATGAAATGGTGTATCTTTGGCTATGTATACTTTCACCAAAATAAAAAAAAAGAAGTCCTTCATTTCAGAATTTAAGCGGAGTGCATTTCATGTAAGAGCATTCTCTAAGTGACTTGAGTAGTTTCACTAAGTAGGCCCTTGGATTGTATTTAATCTGTCTTTAGCACTTGGTTTTAAGGTCCTTCAGAGAAAGACTGCTGTTTGCAGCCACGTTGGTCTCTGTGTATTGATATTTCCAACAATTAGTACAATTTTCAGTAAATTGTATCCAGCTAAAGTTGTTTGTTAATGCATTTTCAATGAACGAACATGGCAAAGGATTTGCTATTATACTATTTTAACTTTTTAATCATTAGTTTAATTTCTCTCTCTTCTTTTTTCTTGATATGTCATCACTTTTGTTCTTTGAAATCATTTTAGTCAGCTACTCCTCTGAGGGACCACTATGCATAGGTATCTTAAAGTTAAAATAACGTTTTTTTCAAATTAAAATATTTTTCTTTGGAAAAAAAAAACGCTATGGAAAAGAGAACCTTATAGAAAGTGGAAGGCCTTATAAGAAACTCTTAAATTACTGTGGCATAGATTTGCCTATTTCTTCAACTATGAAAATAAGGAATACTAACTGTATGTTATAATTTTATGGAAGAGTCTAATAGTAAAAGGCTCTTTTCTTTCTCTTTTAGAGTAAGCCATATAAGAAGAAATGAGCCTTTCATTTTGTGGTAACAACATTTCTTCATATAATATCTATGATGGTGTATTACAAAATCCCTGCTTTGTGGACGCACTCAACCTGGTCCCGCACGTCTTCCTGCTGTTTATCACTTTCCCAATATTGTTTATTGGTAAGTAATCTAATATTTATCTCTTATTAATAGCTGAGATGTGGTATAAAGTTGAGTGAATTTCTCCAATATAAAAGCTGATGTGTAAGTCTGTAAGAAAAGAACAAGCGAGTGTTTTGTGTTTTCTAATTATCTTGTTGGTATATGATAAGGAGCCCTGGTGACGTAGTGGTTAAGCACTCGGCTGCCAACTGAAACGTCAGCGATTCAAACCCACCACTCTGCTCTGAGAGAGAAAGATGTGGCAGTCTGCTTCCATAAAGATTACAGCCTTGGAAACCCTATGGGGGTCTGTCCTGTAGGGTCACTATGAGTCAGAATTGACTCGATGGCAACGGGTTTGGTTTGGTTTTTGGCGTATAATACTCCATAGGTTAAATAGAGGACACATACCTGCTTAGAAATGCTTTTATTTGCATGCTTTTGTTTATTCACTTAACAAATAATTATTTGTTAATGGGCTTGGCATTATTCTAATAATGATTGATCAAAGATTTTCTGTAATATATCATCATGTAATAACAAAGGCTATCATAACTCTTTGTACATAGTATTCAGGCTAATCAAATGTGCAAACACTCTAAAGATATTGGGACCTCAGTAGCCATATGCAGCAGCACTGATTGTTGATTATGTAATGCTATATGTGGAAATCAAACGATGCATTGCATTGGGCGACTATGGTGCAAAAAACCTCTTTAAAGTATTAAAAAGCAAAGATGTCACTTTGAGGACTAAGGTGCACCTGACCCAAGCCATGGTGTTTTCAGTTGCCTCATATGCATGCAAAAGCTGGACAATGAATAAGGAAGACCGAAGAAGAATTCATGCCTTTGAATTGTGGTGCTGGTGCAGAATATTGAATATACCATGGACTGCCGAAGGAATGAACAGATCTGCCTTGGAAGAAGTACAGGCCAGAATGCTCCTTAGAAGCTAGGGTGATGAGACTTCGTCTCACATACTTGGACATGTTACCAGGAGGGACCAGTCCCTGGAGAAGGACATCATTCTTGGTAAAGTGGAGGGTCAGCAAAAAAGAGGAAGATCCTCAATGAGATGGATTGACAGAGTGGCTGCAACGAAGGGCTCAAGCATTGCAACAATCACGGGGATGGTGCAGGATCGGGCAGTGTTTCATTCTGTTGTACATAGGGTTGCTATGAGTTGGAACTGACTTGACGGCACCTAAAAACAACAATATATAGGATATTAAGAATACTTCTGACCAAAAGTAGAACGTGCCATATTTTTAGTTGTAATTCTACAATTAATAAATTCAGTTTTTGATATCCAGTTAACTTCTTGGGTGCAAAGTCTGTGACATTCATGTTTTTATCCCTAACACTCAGCAAAGAGGCTGACAACAAGGGTATTTCAGTAAAGGTGAATTGGAGTAGACATTGTCAAAGGAGACTATTGGAGAAAAATGCAGTTTGTTCACTTACAGCTTTGTCTACTTGAATTGATGAGAGGCCATAAATACTTAAAATCTCAAAGAAGTATCAGGTGCGAGGAAAATTATGCTGCACAAAAGACACAGAGTTTGCCTGCAGGAGTTTACAGCATAAGTTCTAGTAGAATATGTTAAATGTAACTAATCTTCCAATAATGAAGTGCATTTAAGAAAAACTATGGCATAAATTAATTTTTTTTTTTTTCAAAGAATATTTCAGGGGCCTCGTTTGTCTATACAGAAGTTCCTTCCTACAGTATTTCAAGTACAAACCCCCATTCATTCTTGAAGTGTATGGGGCTTTCTACTGCCAAAAAATGAGAAAGAAGGGGGGCAACAGGATACACAATTCTTTTCCTGCACACTATATATGAATGGGCATTACTCTAACTATAGTTTTGAGAAGCAACCAAAATTTTACTAAAACGTAATCTTGAATCTTTTCTGTAGTGATGAGCTAAGGGAAAACCCCTAATGTTCTCAGGCCTGCCTAAAAGCTCATCATCAGTGAACAAAACTGAGTTTCTTTAAGAGAGACATCAGTACCACTTGTTGAATAGTGCTGGCCCAGACATAGATAACCGTTCTTCTCTTATGGAGTGCATATGATTAGGAGTTAAATTTTTCATTTCAGCACCAAATCTTTCTCTCTCTCTCTTTTTTTGTAGACCCTCAATGGATCCCCTGTTTTGAAAGATTTTGGACTCCAAATTGCTTTTACTATTATCATTAATTTATTTTCCTTTTGAACGAAGCAGAGATCTGTCAGTGAAAGCCTCTGATGAGCGTGAGATAACCATGTTGTCACCCAGAGCTGGTATTATTCCTCATCAGTACAATAAACGTTCATGTGTTGCTTAGTTAGTCTGGGCAGTTTTGTAAAACAATTGTCATTCATTTATTTTCTTAGCATAATGAAGATAGACCAGGACTTTCATTGCTGCCTAGAAAGCACTAAGGTTTCTGGAACCATGAAAAACTTATCGCCATGTAAATTATTTCCATTATTATAATTGATCCTTTTTTTCTTTCTCTCTTTGTCTTTGCTCTTTTTCAGGGTGGGGAAGCCAAAGCTCAAAAGTACAGATTCATCACAACACATGGCTCCATTTTCCAGGACATAACCTGAGATGGATTCTTACGTTTGCGCTCCTGTTTGTGCATGTTTGTGAAATAGCTGAAGGCATTGTTTCAGATTCGTAAGTGACTTGATTTAGTTAATATGATTTTACCACACTAGTGGGTATAGTGATATGAATAAGAGCTGAGAGTATACCAAGTGGGGCTTAACTTTAGGGACATAATTCACTAGGAATGACAGTTATCACTCGTTTTATACCACGTCATGGCTTTTGCCTGTATTTTGGTGTTGCTACATGATTCGTCTGATCTCACAGGTTCTGATCTCTGTGACTTTTTTCCTCATTCATGTGCTTTCTACTTCTTTACTCCCTATTCTGTGTAGCTTTTGCAGAACTTTCTGCTCTCTTAAACACTTTGCCACTTATCCTTAAAAAATATGGAAACTGTCTACATAGATATGTATTTAAATGCTATGTATCTTTACATAAACATATTAATTAATACAGATGTTTCAACTTATTTTGTAAAGAACCAAGGATAGATGAGGCAGACATTAAAGAAGTCTGAGAACAAGCAAGGACATAGCTAAAAATTGAGGCAAAGCATGAAATTATTTTAAAACCAGCATTTGTCATAAAACTCACATTTTTTAGGAAAGTTTGTTATTCTTATAATAGAAGAAATTGTAGTAGGCAGTTAGAGCATAATGAATTCTATTTATAACCCTGAACATAATCCGGGGATTTTTTTAAAATCACATAGTAACAGAAAGTAAACTCAAGTGATAGGAAAATAGATTTGATTGATTGATTTAAAACTATGCTAAATAGTACATCTTTTATGGAAGAACTGATGAGAGGAGACCTTTAAAGTTCTTAAAAAGAAAGTTCCAAAATCGCTTTTATCTAAGAAGAATTTCCCTGAAATTTGTTTATATTTTTCTGTTGCAATTAATAAAAAATGAGACTGATAAACTTTTATTATGGAGCCAGTTTTGTTGTATTGTCTTTATGATGGTTATTTGCATATATACGCACTGCTTAGTTTCAGATAAAGAAAGATATGCATTTAGAAGTTTCATTGGCTATTATTATCTTCTTAATAACTGTTTAAACCTCTTTGGCACAGTCTTTGTCATATCAGCATAACCAAGTCGTCTTTCTTTTTTCCCTAAGAATTAGGCTGACTATAAATGTTGCTCTGTTTATGCATGAGATGGAAGCCAGATCAGTCCAGCATTTCTCAAAAACTTACCATCATGTGTGCAAGGATGACTTTCCTTTCCAGCCTCATGGTTGATGGGTAGATTCAGTCAGAGACTTAGAACAGAGGCCTGAACTAATGTTGATGACTCATGCCAATGTCAGAAACTTTTATAGTGGGAAATACAAGTGATCTGTCCTAAAATACAATAAACAAACAAACAAGTAAAAATACACCATGATCTTTTTTTCCACATTCTTTTTCTTTTATTATTGTGCTTTAGCTGAAGCTTTACAGAGCAAATCAGTTTCTCATTAAACAACTAATACACATATTGTTTTGTGACATTGGTTGCCAACCCCACGACATGTCAACATTCTCCCCTTCTCAACCTTGGGTTTCCCATCACCATCTTTCCCGTCCCTTCCTGTCTTCTAGTACTTGCCCCTGGGCTGGTGTGCCCATTTAGTCTCGTTTTGTTTTATGGGCCTGTCTAATCTTTGGCTGAAGGGTAAACCTCAGGAGTGATTTCAGTACTGAGTTAAAAGGTGTTTGGGGGCCATACTCTTCGGATTTCTCCAGTCTCTGTCAGACCAGTAAGCCTGGTTTTTTTTTGTGAGTTAGAATTTTGTTCTACATTTTTGTCCCGCTCTGCCTGGGACCCTCTATGGTGATCCCCGTCAGAGAAGTTGGTGGTGGTAGCTGGGCACCATCTAGTTGTGCTAGACTCAGTCTGGTGGAGGCTATGGTAGTTGAAAATACACCCTGATCTTGCATTGCCTCCTCCCACTCTTTAGCTACAACTTCTTCCTTTAGCTTTTTTATCCAGGCTTCTCAACTGTCATCTTCCAGTTACTTCTAAGCCCAAAAATTTAGTTTGTTTTCTCTTCTGTCCTATCATATACTGCAAACCAGTTCTATGAAGTTCCCAATAAATATTAAAGACACCTTAATGGGCACCTTTTTGTCCTTATCATACTTAGTTTGACACTACTGGTCATTCTCTCCTTTTTTTTTTAATGTTTATTAACTATTCTTTACTTAAAATGTAATACTTATTATAATTAGTGAAACAATGCAAAGATGCATGGAGAAAAATTACGTCACATTTGCCACCCCAATTCTATTTCTACTGTCTTGGAGATAAGCAGTGTTATTAGCTTGTATAATTCTCCACGCGTCTTCAAGTGCAAATAGTTTTTGTTCATAGTGGGGTTTGTTCTATCCTTATTAGTCTGAGATGTTGTCTTACTTAGAAATCATGGACATCTCTCCAGGTCAACAAACACATAGCTAACTTACTTTTAATAGGTGATAATAATTCATAGTATTACTGTACCAGTTTATTCAACTGTTTCCAGCTTTGTACCACTAGAAACTGTACTGCAATAAACATGCTTGCATATATATTCTTTATCTGGGATGGAATCCCCAAAGTGGAATTACTGATTTAAATGCTCTACGTACTTTTTATTTTAATAGATACTCCTGGGTAACTTCCAAAAAGTGTGGCACTTCGTATCCACTGGCAATAGATGAAAGTGTTCACTTCTTTTTATTCTCATTAGTACTAGATATTAATGATCCTTGATTTTATTAGCCATTCTTAGAGCTGAATCGTTACACTTCATGTTTTATATAATATTTTATATTTCCCTATTAGTGTAATATATTTGAGTTATGCTTGTATTAATATTTACTGGCCATTTGATTCTCTTCTGTGATTTGCCTACTCGTACTTTTTACCTATTTCTCTAATTGAGTTACTTGTCTTTTTCTTATCAACTGACAGTTCTTTGTAACTGTTTATCTGTAATTTGTGCAGCATATTCTTCCATTCTGAAGTCTGTCATTTGATCTGTTTATGGACATGTCTTTTACCTTAAAGATGTTTCCTTTTTAAAAAGATTTCTGAGTCTGCTTTATTTACAATGCTCACTCTTATCCCAACACCCTCCTAAATTTTTGTGAAATATTTTTATAATTTTGTTTTTCATATTTAAATATTTAATTCACCTAAAATTTATTTTTGTTTTAGTGAGAAATGGAAACTAAGCTTTATTTACTTTAGAAGAGTAGTCAATTAAGTCAGCATGATTTATTAAGTAAATTATTCTGTACCTATTTTGATTCAGTGTATCAAAATGCTACCTTTCTCATATTTTCAGCTCCCATGTATAATTTGATCTGTTTCTGTTGCAAACTTAGAATCCACTAGGGGTCAAGTAAATGTATGGAGAAGCCTGGCATAAATTAAAAGGGAATGATGGGGCATGCACCTATCTGACCCAAAGGAATACAAATTCAAAGTAGAAAAAAGAAGTACTGGCCAAATGAAATATTTCTGAGGGCTGTATTTGGGCTGGCACAGCGGTTAAGTGTTCGGCTGCTAACCAAAAGGTTGACAGTTTGAATCTACCAGCCCCTCCTTGGAAACCCTATAGGGCAGTTCTACTCTGTCCTGTAGGGTTGCTGTGAGTCGGAATCGACTCGGCGGCAACAAGTTTAGTTTTTTTGGTTTTTTTATATTTGGGCTAGAAGATTTCACTTCCAACTCCTGATTCTTTCTAGCACTTACTATGGTACATATTGCTTCTATTACTGTAGCTGTTTCAGTTATTTATTGCTGGCATAACAAACTTAGTGGTTTAAAACAAAAAATTCTTGTTTTTCAGAATTCTTTGGGTTAACTAGGTGATTCTTCTATTTCACACGGTGTCAGACAGACTCATTCATATGGTTGCATTCAACTGGGAGCTTGGCTTAGGTGCTTGTATTCACCTCCATGTGGTCTGTCTCTCTATGTTGTATCTTATAATTCAGGACCCCTCTACATGGCCTCTCTTTCCTACTAAATTGCCTGGACTTCCATACAGCATGGCTGCTGGGTTCTAAGAGAAAGCATTACAAAAATACAAGCCCCAGTGTACAGCTGCCTACTAAGTCTCTGCTGGCGTCAAGCTTGCTAAGGTCTAATTGGCTAAAGCAAGACACATGACCAAATCTAGAGTCTCACACACACAAAGGTGTGAGTTCTGGGGAGTATAGTTCATTGGGAGCGACTGATGTATTACCGTAGTAGTTTTATAGTGTTTTAATACCTGGTAAAGAAATGCTCCTTCACTATTCTTCTTTTTCATGATATTAATAGGTATTCTCAGACATTTATTTTTCCCTATGAACTTTAAAATAATTTCATCCAGAATATGTCTCCCAACATATTCTTCCTTTATATAGTCTCTTAACAACTACTACTACATTCTATATTTTAAATATCTTACTGCTAAAAGAGAGTATTAATGAACAAAATGGAAAAAAAATGAGAAACTATTTAAAACCATCAGCTTTAGATGCTGACCTTGTACCTTTCTTCGTAGGCGACGAGAGTCAAGACATCTCCATCTCTTCATGCCTGCCGTGATGGGGTTTGTGGCTACTACAACATCAATAGTGTATTATCACAATATTGAAACATCCAATTTTCCTAAATTACTTTTAGGTAAGTAAGATCAAGTGTGTGGTCATTTTTTTTTTCTTCCTCATAGCATGTACTGTCAGAGTGGGTTGGGGGTTGGGAGTTGGAAACTAAGGAAAGCCACAATAATTAATTCTTTCGTAGTTACCGGTCTGAATCAACTAGGCAGCTGACAACAGCAACAATAAATGTGAGGATGAAGGCAAGCTGGGTTGCCCTCAACTCTGAAAACTCCATTCTCCCAGTGCATCTATTATTCTCCAGGAAGTGCCCCTCAAGTTGTATTGGTCTGTGACAGAAAGAAAGTGGAGGGAATGTGCTCCTCTTCTGGCTTACAGAAACTGTACTCTAAGAAACAGAGTTCTTGCAAGCATCCGTTGCACCATGCTACCCCTTGAACAAATGATCTCATCCAGTTCTACGTGTTTCTGCCTCTGGCTTGATGTTCTGAGCATTTTTGCCCAGACCTTTCACTGCTGCTATGGGGATGTCTCCGCACTTGCCTAGAACTGCTGCCCAGAAAGCAGAGACCTCTATGAAGCAGAGTTTGCTTCACACTGTGCTGAAAGTATATTGTCCTGGGAAACACCTGCTCCCACAGCATTGCCTGGCATATCTGCATCATGCCGAAAACCATCTTTTTAGCTTCCCTTGCCTCCTTGTCCTGTGGAAATCAGAGGCTCGCTAAAGTGTTCCTAATTTTCTTTTTGCCCTAGCAGAAATAATATAAACTCACTGCTGTCGAGTCGATTCCGACTCAGCAACCCTATAGGACAGAATAGAACGGCCCCCATAGGGTTTCCAAGGCTGTAAATCTCTAAGGAAGCAGACTGCCACATCTTTCTCTTGTGGAGTGGCTGGTGGGTTCAAACTGCCGACCTTTTGGTTAGCAGCTGAGTGCTTTAACCACTGTGCCACCAGGGCTCCAGAAATAATGTAACTCATCTCAATTTTTTGTATACAATAGTCTGGGCCATCCTTGCATGCATTGGTGTACAGTTGCTTAAAGAGAGCTGAAATGAGGGTATAGAACATGGATCGTGGATGGAATGTAGGAAATCTGTGGACCTCCTAAAATGATGGGCAGAATCGTGTGTGTTTGAGTGAATGAATGCCTACAATTTTCTAAGCTTCATAGATGTCATTTAATTGTCAGTGTTATAGGATGAAAAAGACATTGACTACTAATATAGAAAATAAATAGCTAATAAATACTAATAATGGCTAGTACTTTTTGTCTGGAGGACATTAAAATTTAAATTGGATGAGTGGAAATTGCTGATTATTTAATTCTATGCGATGTCACATTACGTGGTTGGGCAAAGGCAATCAAATTAAAAAATATAGAGAGTTAAATATTAATCTAAAGGCTTGACAAAGTCTGAATTATCTTAACAGAAAGCTGTTTAGTACAAAATGGCACTCAGACATTATCATAGAAATCTTTTTATGAAGATATAAAAAACTAGTTAAATTTCCGGTAGGTAACAGGAAAAAATAGTAACAATGGGTAAGCTAGATAGAAGTTTCTGTAAGATAGATTGTGGTAACAAAGTGGTAAAATGTAATTAGAAAGGACATGGACATTTTCATGATACTTTAAAGGGAATGTGATCAAAAATCAAAGAATTATTTTTATGTAGATGCAAGGCAGAGGGCACAATTTGATCATGTAGCTGGAAAGACTCTTAGGGATAAAAGATAGTCTAACTTTCTCATTATTTTAGAATAGAAAATTTGGACCTAGAAAAGTTACAGTTATTTTAAGATCACAAAGCTAGTATTTTTGTCCCAATATTTTATAATGAAAATTACCAAAACATGCAGAAAATTTGAAAGAATTATGTGAATATGCATATACCCACCAACTAGATTCTTCAATCTGCATTTTGCTCTGTTTGCTTTATCACATATCTACATCTTTCCATCCCTCTATCCATCCATCAGAGCCCTGGTGGTACAGTGGTTAAAGAGCTACAGCTGCTAACCAAAAGGTTGGCAGTTTGAATCTCCCAGCCACTCCTTGAAAACCCTATGGGGCAGTTCTACTCTGTCCT